CATAATTCGAATCATTATACCAGTATTTTGATGATGTATTAGCTTGTCATTCATGTCATGCTTCTGTAAACGTCAGGGTATGGTTCCTTGAATAAGGATTAAGGAGATTATATGGCTTACTATCTGTTTACAATCAATTTTGAGTTTGGAATTTGAAAACATTGATCCAAAACTTCATTTTTCCACCTAGATATCCCAGAGCATTATTTGTAGTGCAGTCAGACAGAGAAAACAGCCCAAGCCAATCTTCAGTGGCTCCAAAGAAGAGCAGAGTGAATTTGTAAATCACACCCCTGACATTTCTCCAGGGAAGGTTGTTGCTGTGAAGGGGGGACACAGAAGGTGATATCTGCACTGTGGGAAATAATCTCTCAAAACCAGCAGGAGCAGAGACTCACCCCACAGATACAACCACAGAGTCACTTTCTCTGGCGATAGAGCGACACAGCTTCTCGTGGGTCTCTGAAAGAAGCAGATTTGAGTGGCTTTGGGTTGGGTTTTTTACCCAGAGTCAAAGAACTGCAAGAAGAAAATACTCTCTGTTTTTTTCTTCCCCCTCCTACACAGCTCCTCAGATCTTTGGTACCCCTTCAATCATTATTTTTTCCCCTCCTATAATTGTCCTTGTCTGTAAGGAAAGCTCCTTGAAGCACAGCAGATGCTTTCTTCTGGCAGCAGGAATTAGGAGATTGCACCTGTGGTTATACTCAAAGTTTCTAACTGCTACAGATCAAGCAACAACCAGCTTTAATATTTATTTACGTATTTCTTTCATGAAACTATAGTATGTTTTCTTTTAGACGTCTTACCAATACTTCCAAATACCCATCCTCCTCCATGGAAAAACACAACTCCTCTCCTTTGGCTGGCAGATGGAGCCTTAGGCTGGTAAATCCTTACTGGCACTTTCTCAAACCACAGATCTTTGATGAAGAGCTTTGGGTCCACTCCCAGGGTCTTTCTGCCTTGCATGTACCGGACAAAGCTCACCTGGGTGCAGATGCCAATGTTTTCCAAAATCCTTCCCTGTTCAAAGGCAAAGAGAACAGGGAGTTCACTCAAAAGATTCTGTATTTTCCAAAGTAAAGGAACTCTGTGGACAGGAAACTCAGGGTATCTCAGTCATGAATTTTAGGGCAGTAATAAATTAACAGAGTAGTTGTACAGGTAAAGTACAACTGAACAAGTAACAGCAGCATCAGGGGAGGTTGTGAGAGAGTTACATGGACCAAAGACCAGAACCCCAGACAAAGCAGCATTAACAGACTGGGGAGACAGATCTCTCTGCCTTCTCAGTGGGTCCTTTACCTAACATTGAAAGGGAGATTGGTTTTCATGGGTTACTCTCTCCTTGCCCCCCAGAAGATGTGAAACCAGAGCAAAAGTGAACGTTCTGGTGCTGATTTTTATGGTACAGACACTTCCCCAAAGTAGACTTGATTAAGTTAAGAACATATTTGATAATTGCTTTTTGATTCATCTCAGAAGTCTCACTGGTGTGTGCACTGTATTGACAAGAAGACTTTGAGATATTTAGTAGGAATTAACTTCTGCCACGGGGATATTCGTGCCAGGCATGAGGAGATGAAAAGAATACAAATCAAATATGGTCCAACATAACTTTGCATAAATAAAAAAAAAAGGTATAGCCTCTGTTTTGAAATACTTTCTGTAGCCATGCCAAACCAGTACTTTGTTCCTGAGGAAGATTTGGATCAAGTTCATAATATTTACTATTCTATTATGAATATTTCTTACTACACATCCACATTTGCATGGATTGTCAGAGCAGTGTCACTACTCCATATATTTACCTGTGAAAGGCCTTTTCTTCAGTGACTCCAGCTATTTATAATGTTTTCCATGCCTGATCTCACTCTCACATTCTTCTTGCTTGTTTTCTTTCACCCTGTGTTGTTTATATTGCAGCATATAATGCTGGTTTAGGGTACAAGTGGGCAGTGGATTGATGATCAAAAGAGAACTGGCTTTTCCAGCTGCTTAGGTGAAGTAATCTCTTTCTAATTACAATCTCTGTGTTGCCAAAGCATGAGAATATATGTCTAGAATTCTTTCCTGTGGTCCACTATAATCTTGAATATTTCTAACACAGAATGTGGGGGGTTTTTCTTTTTTTTTTTTTCTTCTTGTTTGAATTTTAAATTGTTTGTTCCTCTTGGAGGTGTTTAATTAAATTAATTAAATTAAATATATGCTATAGCCTCTGCTATCTCATATCTAACAGCACCTGTCACAAGAGCACCTGTGCATCTATCAGTACGTGGAAATACCTGTGATTCAGAGAGCTCCTCTATCAGCAGAGATCACCACATGTTCAGGGCAGCTTTTGGGGGCTGATTACCTACCCAGGCTGGTTCACCTGGAGGAGCTGGGCAGGCCAGAGCCCCTCATTTCCCATCAGCCAATCCTGCTTAGTTGCTGCAGGAGTTACATAAATGTATTTAGGGCAGACAGGATTCCTTCAGCTCCTCTTGGGCAACGTTACCTCCTTTTTGTCACTTGTGCAACCAGAACTCTCCCCCTTCACAAAACCAATTTTGAAATTGGTTCAATTTCTCATTTTATATTCAGAATAAATACATAACCCCCCATCAAACAATCAAATCAAATCATTGCTGGGTTGGCCCCAGTCGTGGCAGAAGCAGAGTCAGACATTCACACCCTTGTGTTAGGCAGCATTTAGGAGAGCTGGGCAGGACTGGACTAGAGCAGAGCAGTGTCCAAAGTCTGCTAAAAAGTGTCTTTAGCAAAACTGAGCTAAATACAACATGCAGCACGACAGCAGTGCCCTGCTCTCCTCCCTCTCCTCCTCTGGAAATTAATTCCAGGCAGGCTTCTAGCGCTGCATTAAGTTTAAAATCTACAGGTTCACCTTTCTTCCCCCAGAAATCACACCAGGTTCACTTACCACCACAGCTGTGCTTATTAAAATTATATGAATGATTCGGAGCTTTGCAGGCTGGTTCACTCCAGGAGGAATTTCTGAGTTGGAAAAATCAAAATTAATCGCCCCCATGACCAACAATATAAATCCAGCAACAAAACCTGCTAAGAATAACACCAGCAGTGTGAGTACCACTGCCATTCTGCTGAACAGCAATGATCTGAGATGTCTTTGATTTGACTTTCCAAGGTATATTTGGCTTGGAACTTCCTGATTCCTTGTTTGCTCTGGTTAAAAACCCCTCTCCTCCCCTTTACAAATACATTAGCAGGTATCTTTCCCTCTCCCACTTTCTTTCTCCCTCGCTCCCCTTATCTCACAAAAGATAAGCTGGTGGATTCATGAACAGATCTATGCCAGCATCATTTTGGAATTTTTGCAAGAAACCAGTCCCTGGATGGGAGAATGAGCTGCACTGATATTAAATCAGTTGGAGGTGGACAATGCACACAGGGCATTTGTGTGCTTTGAGTTTGGGACACTGTAAAACACCCACCTGAAGGAGAGTTTTCCTCAGAGCTGGGAACCTGCCTGTGATGACTGTCACTCCAAAGGGCCAAATGCATCCACCCCAGTGCTCTTTTGGAAAGGTGCACTTAGAAAATGGTGTCATTTCCCCAGTATCAGTTCTTTTTAGTGTTTGTGGTTCCTTTTAGCAGAAGACTATGGTTAAAAAAAAAGCCAGAGGAAGTTCAGATCCATGACTGGGTGACCTTGTAGCAGGTAACCTTCAGTAACTCACTGTGCTACAGGTGCAGCATAAAATTAAGTTAACAGTGATTAAAGAGTTTCAAATCAAACGCCTTTATCTTGTTCTTGCTGAGGAATGGGATTGTGCAAATGTAGAGATGGTGTACTTTAAATGGTGCTTGAGAATTAATTAATTAATTGTGAATCTAAGTCTGCAACTCTTCAAACAAGTAGGATGTCAGTGCACTGAAACTGCAAATTCCCAGGGAAAGGAAAGAGGTAAGAATCTAAGTTTAGTAGGCAGCAAGGGTTTTGTTGTTGTTGTTACTGTTCTTTTAAATTTAAACTGTAAGTGATGGGGGAGAAAGTATCATGTCGTTTTAGTTACAAAACTTTATAAAAATTTATTTTCATATTTTTTTTCCCAGTGGGAAGTTGAGTGTTTTTAGCAAATGTAACTCTTACTCTTGTAACACAAATGTTTGCAGTGTTAGCTTTTATTTTTGGTTGTTGAAAGCATCACAAAATCCCCAGAGCATTACAGTGATAACATAGGTAATATAAAGTTGTGCTTCTCTACCTTCTTACATGATCTTCAGAACTTCTTCAACAAACAGCATAACAGGTAGCCTTGAGCACAAGATAATCCTGAAAGAAAAACAAAGGCTACAGGATGGAAAAATCTCACTCTGCACTTCCCTAACACACTCACTGAAGTTCAGGGCTTCCAGTTTAAGAACCAAGTTCCAAAATGAAACATTTCTCAGATTCCAGATAAAATCAAACTCATTCTAGTTCCAGTTGAAGACTTCTGCTCCAGACAGGAGCCTTCCTTTTAGTTGCCCTTTTTTTCTAGAGCACTCTTTATGCAGATTAACCCTAGAAATTAAATTCATGGCTGCAATTCCACTGTCTGCTATAAAACTTCACAGAACCTGAGTTCTCCATCTGATACCACGAACACCTCCTGTCTCCCCTGGGCCAGAGCAGACCTCAGATGTCTTCAGCATTTCTGGGCAAGCTGAAGACTCTCCAGGAAGATTCCTGTCACTTCCCTTCAGCGAGTGCCAGCCATGCAAAGATACTGGAATGGTCAGAGTTTTAGTGGAACAGGATAGGCCAGTTGCCTCACCTTTGCATCTTGGTCTTACTGGTGTGTTTTCTAGAATGGTGGTGCTTTAAATAATCTTAACATTTGTTTGAGAGTCACTGCAGAAGCAGAAATCAGGAAGTACAAAATGCAGTCAAAATCCAAACCGTAAATCAGTAACGTTTTACATTCTTTGCCAAGTATAAATTCATCAAGGATAATGCCAGACTCGCATCGTTCTTCCGAAAAACACTTCTATAAACTGTTTATATAATTCACCAGACTATCCACTATCTTTTTTCCAGATAAAAAGGAAAAAATCCCGTAGCCAAAAAAGGCTACAATTCCATGGAAGCCACTCTTGGAATGATACCAGGTCACTTGAACACCATTGTCCTCCAGTCTCTTCTTGTATAACAGCCCATCGTCCCTCAGCACATCAAACTCACAGGTCACAATGTAGGCCTCAGGGAGCTGGCAAATGACGGAATCTTCAGCTAAAAGTGGGGAAAACGTCAGTGCTAAAATCTCCTTGACAGCTTCGTGGACTTCGGGTTTATACGAGGCGGGCGCCGGGGGCACGTAGCCTCTAACCTTGAATTCATCAGGAATGAGGTCAGCACTCACCCACTTTTTATACTTGCGCCTCGTGCTCTCACAAACGTGGCAGTTGCGCAGGACGTCTTTCAGCACCGTGGGCTCTTTGTTGAGGTAACGGAAACAGAAGTAGAGGACCAGCTTGCGGTACAACACGGGCACCCACGCGTTCTGCTGGTAGGAGGGCAGCTGAAAATCCAGCCCCTGCAGCCCTGGGTACAGCAGGACCTGAGCGCGCACTTTTGGCAGATCCCGGCCGTTCAGCAGGATCTGGCAAACGACGGTGGCGAAATTAGCCCCGCAGCTGTCCCCACTGATGATGATGAGAGTGGGGTCCACGTGGTACTCCTCTAAATTCCTCATGAAGTACAAGGTGGCGTTGAGACAGTCGAAATACTGCCCTGGGTAGGGGTGTTCTGGGGCCAAGCGGTACCTGAAATGGCAAAGTTGTTGTGGTTATTGTCAGCAGAGTTATAAACGTGGGATTTGTGGTGTTTGTGGTTGCTGTGAGAGTTATGGAAGCCTTTTTTTCTTAATTTTAAAGTTTATATTTTTTTTTAGCTAGTGTAGATTGGAAAGCCAAACTAATGGTGTTACAGATATTTTGCCTACAAGCACATTTCTAAATTAAATAAATTCTAAATTAAGTGAAAAATAGGGAGCATGATCTAAAATAGTAAATATTTTTAGCATATTTTTCACAAATATTTCGACTGAGAGCTGTATTCCCATAAATACTTCCACGGAAAAGTAACACTTACCCAACAGACACAACCACTGAGTTGCATTTTTTGGCCAAATAGCGGCATATTCTTTCAAAGGCTCCTAAAGAGAAAGTTTATCAGAAATGATGATTTGAAAATCAAATATCCTTTTGAAAATGTAAATATAGACCAGTGAGGAACTTCTGCTCTGCAGTATGGTCTTTACATGTTAACATGTTCTCTGGTTGTTGGTCTGTGGCTGTCGGGGCATCACAAGAGCAGGTGAGGATGGTGATACTGGGGAAACCAAGAAATCTGTCTGGGCTGGTCTTGCTTCTCACCTGGTGGGCAACAAAAGGTGTCTGAGGAGAGCATAAACTGAGGACAAATATAAAATAATAAGGAGCACACAGGAATTTAAGATTCAGGGGACTCCTTTGAGACAGAAACTGTCTTTACACCTGATGCCCTTGATTAATGGTCCTGCTCTGAACTACCCAAACCACTTCCTGACCCCATGATTTTAACATTAACAGCTTTGTGCAGTTCCCTCCCTTGCTCCCCTATTTGCTCCTTTTGAACCTGGCATTCACTACTTCCATTTGGGGACATTAACTCTGAAACTGTGGCTGCCCCATCCCTGGAAGTGTCCAAGGCCAGGTTGGATGGGGCTTGGAGCAACCTGGGCTGGTGGAAGGTGTCCCTGCCCATGGCAGGGGGTGGGACTGGATGAGCTTCAAGGTCCCTTCCAACTCAAACCATTCTGGGATTCTATGATTTGTGCCTGAAGCATGACTTCCATGTGTATGGATTTTGAGGAATAAGCCATAATTCTCTGTCCACTGATTCTGTTCCTCGCTGTGGCTTCTGCTAATTTGCTGGTTTGCAGATTTCAGGCCTCCTAGGCTGGAGATTCCCCAAGCCCTTTGGAAAGCTTGTCCTCACGTTGGTGGCTTTCCTGTTATCGAGTTCCAAAGGGAATTGAAGCCAAAGGTCAGGTCCCACACTCAGGGGATGGGTATGGCTCCTTGGCATTCACCAAGGCATGTGAACAACAACTCACTATGCAACTTGTGGTGTGGGGTTTTTTTTCTGCCAGTGAAAGGAATTCACCTTTCACTCAGATCACAGGGGCTCATCTCTTGATGCCACCCAAACTAGCTCCAGACAAAGAGCCTGACACGCCACGCAGCCTCACGTGCTCTGCAGTGAACCAGGGGAGATTATTTCTGCCCAGTGCAGAGTGGGACCTGAGGCACTGGGAGTTCCTGCAGGGTGCTGAAGGAACCAGGGAACTCAAGTCTGCCCATTACAGTGCTAGTGCAGACCTGCCCTTGGAAACAGTAAAAGATTTAAACCCTACAAGTTGTCCTGTCTGGAATGAAATCCAGATTTTCGTATTAGGGGCCTTGGTTTCCAGACAAAGCACTGCCAGCCTTGGTTGCTCAGAAGGGGATCCAGAGCAGTCAGGAGCTGAGCTCCCAGCTACTGAGACAACAAGGATTGTCTCCCTTTCTGGAAAAAATGTCAAGGATCGTGTGTCACCACAAGAATCAAACTTCCCCAAACTGCTCATTCCTTATTTGTATTTCCCTTCCTTTGGATTCCACGTTTGCACGAATGGGAATATATTTACAGATTTTTTTTTTTAATGCATTTTTTAAATTCTTCCTTGGACCCATGTTATATATTTTATGTAGGATAAGAGTAGCCTTAGCAGAGCAGAGTCCCTCTGCTGACAGCTGAGCGAGGGGCTCTTGCATCTGTAGCCCAAAGGAAGCAGAGATGTGACTCCCCTTAACATGACCCTATTCATCCCACAAACACTTTCCAGTTGGCACTGAGACTGCAGGGACAGGTGTCACTGGGAAGGACAAGGGCACACCTTGACTGGCATGTCTGAAGGTAAAAATGTAGAGGTTTGGATTCGACTTGAAAAATAAAACTTGCCCATTTCTTACTAATGCTCCCAAACGTGCCAGCGCCTCCGTGAAAATACAGAATTCCTCTTCTTTTGCCAGTGGGTGGGCTTTTGGGCTGATAAATCCTCAGGGGTACCTCATCTACTTTGAGATCTTTGATAAGCAGTTTGGAGTCTCTCCAGGGGGGTATTCCATCGAGCAGTATTCGCAATACAGTTAAATCATTGCAGATCCCCACCTTCTGCAAAACCTTTCCCTGTTGGAAAGAATTTGGAAGAAGAGGAGTAATGTTGGCTTGCTCCTGAACAGACAGGATTATTATATGTACCTGCCCTTCAATAGGTGCAGGATACATCTAAATGCTTGCTTAAATTTGTCACATGAAACAGTTTTCCAGCAAAAAGTGGCTGCAGTTTGACTGAAAAACCCAAAGAAGCTTTTAGGATTGGTCATATCAGTTTTATGATTTAATTTAACATATATCAGTGCTTACAGGTTTCAGGGGGCTGAATTGCTTCTTTTTTTTTTTTTTTTTCTTTCTTTCTTCCAGCTCCCAACTGTCCTTCCCAAAGCAAAGTGAAATCCCAGTTTGAAGGAATTGGACTTACCGCGATCATGGCTGAAATCATCAAGGAGTGGAAAAAACGGAGCTTTAGAGGTTGGTCAATCCCAGGTGGCAGTTCTGAATTGAAAAAATCATACAGTACCCCCACCAAAAACAGTGCTGGTATCAGAACAGGAGACATATAAATCATTACTATAATTGCTAAAGTTGTATAAACAGATGCCATTTCACTTCAGCGGAAGGGAACACTAAAAAAAATCTCTCCTGTGTTAAGCCCCGTTTCCAAGTGTGTCTGAGGTGTCTTCACAGGAGACTAAGAGCTCAGGTCATATGCAGGAATAAAAAGTTTATTAATGTTGCAATACAATGCAATGCAATTTTCTCCACCCTTCTTTTGCTAATGATATTATTGGCAACACTTCCTGACACTGAGGAGAGGGGCAGGGGGAGGTTTGTACCCTTTACAAAAGGTGGGATTTAAAGCATATGGAAATGATACCATGAGCTCTTCACTAACAAGGAGACATTATTATTCAGAGGGCCCTGATTTGAAGGTTGACTGTGGATTTGGTTTGTTGGTTTCATTATGGATGGAAGTTCCTGTTGCGGTGTTAAATTTTAGTGACATGGGGCCACTTGCACTTCTCATCAAGGTGTATATACACTTCTCCGAGAATAAAAATATTCAAATCCACATTTTTTTATAAATTGTTTCATGGGGGAATGCACAGACACAGTCATGCTTTAATTCTGGTTTATGTAAAAGTACATTTACTCAGTGTATAAAATTAGTGCAAGCCTTAACATACAGGAAGGTCTCTCCAGACATACTGTTATTTCTGGTGAAAGCTTTTCATCACCTACACCCTCAGGGTTTTATATTCACTGTAATTCTTGTTTGTAGTACAGTGTAGAGGCATGATGAATACAGGTGTATTGGTGAGGGATGATTACAGCTGGTGGCAGTTGTTTGGTGAAATAATTTTTCTGGTTTGTGTTCTCCTTACTAGAGTTCCGTTTTCCACACTACTTAAAATTTACAGCTCACAAACCCTTTTAGTGTCCTGGCTTTTAAAGTGGGATTCCAGTCTGAAAACTGAATGAGTCCTTAGTTTTGTCAGTTAAGTCAAAGTATTGATTTAAATCAAAGCAGTACCGACAGCTGATTTGCACAGCATTGGCTTGTGAAGATCACAGTGTGTGGGGTAAGGATGTGTGTGAGATATTGGGAAATAGGCAGGCCATCAGCTGCTCACAGTAAGGGCTGTTTCTGTGCTGAGATGGCTGATTTGGGGCCTTTCCCTTACACAGATTTAGGATATGGGTAGTTATGTTGAGGGCTGAAGCCAAGCTCAGGTCCCTGTGGCCAGGGCTCAATCTGTCCTCAACTTCTCACTGCTCTGCACAGGCCCTGCAGCACAGCTGGGGCAGCCCAGGGATGCTGGTGCTTATCAGTTCTAGAAATTATTTCTATGTATTGTGATATTCCAGCCCAGCCAGCGGGTTTCTGTTATTTGTTTTCCCATGTATTCCTGTCAGAGCAGCCCAGATCTTACGAAGTGCTTCTTGCTGATGTCTGTGCCATCAACCCAAATATCCTGAAATAAATTCCCACGTGGAGGTCACCTTAGAATACCGTGTTTCTTGATGATTCCTTATATTTGAATCCTCAGAGGAGGCAACTTTTGTGCTTTCAAAAGCGCCTCTGATCAAGAATAATAAATTCCTCAAGGCACTTAGTCCTTCAGTGGCAGTAAATGAAACTTTTAAAGGCAACCAAAGCCAGTTAAACTCCTGATATTTGGAGGGATCAGCTCCCATTATGAAAGCTCCACATCAAAGAGCACAGGTCTGTCTGCTGGGGCTCCATGAGCTCTTGCTGACACCCTGCTGGCAACAAGACTTTTCTTCACCTTCTCAGTGAGTCAATAGTTAATCACCCTTAATCAAAACCAAAACACCTCACAGACACCATCTCTGTTTTGAAACCTTAATGGATCTGACACAGTGGAAGCAATATTGCTTGACTGCCTTTTTTTTTTTTTTTTTAAAATTTAAAATTCAATTAACAAAGGGACAGTTTGGTTTTGTTTGTTTGTTTTTTGGTGCTATGCCCTGGCAGTTGTCATCAGCAGGAATCTGTTGTAAAGTCGTGGCAATCTGAATAAAAATCTTTCAGCTCTGCGTTACAGCCCTTCTGTTGCTAAAGAAACGGTGGTGAAGTAATGTTTCAGAATAATATCTTCATGTTTTAATCTCTTAATATGTTCCTTTTAGAGGATATTCAGAGCATGCTCAGTTAGAACAGGTTGGACCTCTGTGCTGTTTGCACCTCAGGTCTCCCTGCCCTGTAACTACAATGTTCAGAATCAAGCAAATTCCATCATCTGAGAGCTACCTGGTCCTTCTGGGGATGCTTATATTGAGAATGATGTCATGATACTGGTACCTTATATTCCAGATATTTCAGCTATTTCCAGTCTGGTCAGCCATTCCTGTACCTGCAGATGGATGGGTGGGAATATCTGTGACCACTGTCAGTCTCTCACGTTGTTATAAAACAGTCATTGAGGTTTTGGTGGGGTTTTTTCTCCCAATTGTTTTTGAGGTGGTAAATTATCATAAAAATATTTTATTGCCTTTCAATCCACTCTGTCAAATGAGTACCTTAAATCTTTCCAATCCAAAAGGCTTCTTCTCTTTCTGGGAGTAGAGAGCTATTCTAAAATTCCTTCTCTTATTTATTTTTCAGCATATTTCCAATGGTCACAGCAATGATGGGAAGCTAAAGTACAATAACAACACCTATCCAAAGAAATAACCATATTTACTGGTTTTCCCCAGGCTGAGCCCACGAGAGTTTCTGTAGCTGTGGAATCACACCCAGCTTTGTAGGCTGAGAATGTGTAAAACTCATCAACTTTGCCCTCAGCTCTCAGCAGCAGAGGCAGCAAAAGCTGCCAAAGCCAACACCGAGGGAGGCAGAAGGGTCAGTGGAGATGGTGCTGGTGAGCCCTGGGACTGTCATGTGTTTCCTTGTCAAGTTTTTGTCCAGCTCACTGTGAAACATTCCACTTTTGATTGCAGGCTGTTCCTATCACAGTGACCCTGCAGTCAGGTGATTATTGCAGAGCTCTCTGTGTAACACAGGAAATCCTACAGTGAGTAACTAAAGCACAGTCAAGGAGTGAGTCACTGTGATGACTAGGCTATTGATTCCATCAGGTACAGCCAGGCTTAATAATTGTCTGGAAGGAAACAGGAAAAAATAATGTATTAAAAAAAAAAATAAACCAAGCAATACTAGCTGTCCCTTTTTTGTTTTTTTTTCCTTCTTTTTAAATGTTCATTTCAAAACAAAACACTCTGGTAAATATAATTTGTCTGGCTTTTTAAAAATTATTATTATTATTATATTATTTTCTCTAGGTAATTCAGTAGGACAGTTAGACCCTGTAGAGTCATTTAACTGACTTTGGTTTTACCAAGTAGAGCACGTGAGGAACTTGCCACGCTCCAGTAAACATTTATTTTCTTGGTTTTATGTAAACAAATCACTGAAAGCATTTCAGACCTCTCCATACAAGTAAGCCTGAGTCTTCTAATCTGTGAGGTGGATTTAATATGCTCTTTACAGTGACAGTAAGAAGCTTTAAGAAATTACAGCTTATTCCATGCCCTGCCATACTGTTGTTTAAAGGTTCTGTGCGTTTGCTTCATCCATGTCCTTCATTTACTCTGCCTCCCACCTCCTTTTCGGTGTCCTCCCTTTTCCTTATCTCCATCTCCCCGCCCAAAATTAGTAGTTACTCCCTGTGTGTTTTGCTCCTTCTCGGGACTGAAAGCCATCTTTCACTTAGTCTGCCACAAATCTTTATTTTAGCCCTTCCTCTCTCCCTCTGGAGTTATTCTTTGAAGTCTGTCCCTTCCAATGACTCACAGGCTAAAGAGCTGCTAACAAATTCTGCAGTAAAAAGCTGCACTGTATTAAAAAATATATATATATAAAAACATGGCAAATGCCGTGTATTAGCATTCGGTTAATCCACAAATGGATTCCAAATACGCTGCCCTGGAACATCCACATGGGATTCCATGGCAGGTCACCACACCAGAACGTATTTTTATTAAGTCACAGGTTATTTGAATGTAAATGTAACAACTGCAACTGCCCCTGTTTTGCCATGGCCAGGTTTGTGTGAGTCTCAGAGCTCCAAATATTCAGTTTAGCAGTGTCAGCACAGTGAATCGCTGGGGTAATGAGCAGAGAAAGAAGGCTGACAGCAAAAAAAGCAGCCACAGTTTACAAGATTATGCCTATTTATTTCAGGAGCAGTACAGTCAATGTGCATCACAGGCAGAAAGTAGTGTTAAATGCTTGTAAGTAATTATTTATAAATAATATAGCCAATTAATTCAGAATTCTTGCTAATTGCCTCTTCATTTTAAAAATTCTTTCTGTGGTTTGTGACTTTTAACCAGAGTGGAACGAAGAGGTGATGTGAAGACAGCAAAGCAGAGGATAATTGCAGTTGTGGACTTTTTAATAAACCACTCTAAACTTGAGTGGTTTGGAACAGGTAATCTTAAATTGTCAGGGCTCAAAATGTGCTCTGTTATTAAACAGACAGCTTCAGGCTATGGAGACACAACAAGAGGCTCAGTAAAACATTGAAATCTGAGCCACAGATTGGCCTTTGGTGATGCCTTTCAGGTCCTCACCCTGTGTGCCCAGGGCACAAGGAGCTTTGTCAGGTAATTGCAAACCCAGGTGTGTGCTGACATCTGCCGATGGAACGATGCAGGGCCGCTCACTTTCCCTTTCCTTGTTTCCATCAACACCTTCCTGTAACACAGAGCTGCACAAAGGGCAGCAAGACCTCCCAGTTGCACTGAGCTGCCCAGCATTTCACTTGTTTACAGGTCTTGGCAGTGTCTTGATCTGTTCCTGGACCCCTTTATTTGTGATATGGTGCCTTTGGGCCAAAGCCTAAAGACCAGGTAAGGAATGTGGCTCCTGTCCCTGTGATTTGGGGTTAATACCTCTGCATGGACCAGCCTCATCCACACCCAGCCCTGCCGGGAGAGCAGCATGCCCTGGGCTATCTCTTCGCTCAGGGTGCAAACCCCAGAGGGAATCATCCCCTGGGGCACCTCACCTTCCCCTGTGGCAGGATCTAGTTATTTCTGTCAAGATGGGAAGAAATTTTGCCATCAAAGAAAACT